TTTTTTTTTTTTTTTTTTTTTTTTGCTGTTGTCGATGGCGGTGATGATATTATACATCTTTAATATCAGTCATTTTATATGACCAACATCTTAACTGATAGGTTAATTATGAGTTTGCATGACTGCCGAAAATGATTGCTTTCAAAGAAACTAAATGAATGGTTATAAAGTAATCAAAATTTAACATACAATCTCTATTATGAAAAGCTTTTTTTTTTTGCTTTTTTTCATCTACACATTTTCTTCTTGTTTTAAAACTACAAAAATAAACCTTTCTATCTGTTTTGTTGACCTCTATTTCAGTATGGATGCAGTGGAGAGCAATGCCGCTGTTGCTGATTTCAGAGTTTTTATTACAGCTTTTATCAATATGTTTCTTGAAAAAACCCAAATTTTTTTTCTTGCAAGTAATTTCTGACCTACTGTATTGATAGTTTTAACGACATTTAATCGAAAACCGCATAAATGGGATGCTGAAAATGACTATATTTGTTTGCAGGTTACTACAAGGGTACCTGGAGAAGATGGTGAAAAAGTTTTTGAGAATGCGAATCATGATCAGGTTTGGGAAGGTTCATTTGAGGTTCAAAGGCGAATGGTAACAGACCATATTATTGTATGACGAGTAGAGAAGGGGAAAAAAAAGTTTTATTCAATTCGAGTTATTAGCAACATCTTAAATTTGTTCTTATTTGTGGCCTCTCAACCGGTCTACGTTTTCGGCTAAATTCTTATCGTTTTGACTCCCTGCCATCATCAACAACTGTGGTGTCGTTGTTATTGATAGATGTCAATACTTAACACGTTTTTCTTGCACATATATTGTCTGTTTAATACAATTGAAAGAATTGTAAAAGAAAAACAGGTTGTATCCTTTGATACAGTTCAATTAAAAATAAAATTTCTGAATAAACTGTAAGTAAATTAAACTTTATGTAAAAAATGTCCCTTTTCTTTTTTTTTTTTTACTGATTAATAATTAGTTGAAATTTGCAATAACTATAGACAGCATTAATTTTATATGAAGGTTTTCGTTGTTGAGATTCATATTTTATCTAAAAAAAAAGGCGGAAATAATAGCATCATTTTTTTTTTT